GCTTTCTGCTTGGGAAAGTATGCAAGAAAAAGTATCTTACGAGGGGGAAACTCCATTGACAAGTTATATGCGCTTTTCTCTCCCATCCATCGATGAATGGAAATGCAGTTTCTCTGTTGCCGTAGCCGTTGCCTGGCAGCCGGGGGAAAGAAAAGTACAGGGAAATGGGAAATCATTTAAGTGGCACATCCATCAAAGCTCTGTGTTTCCCCCTCTCGTTCTCTGTGCTTTTTGAGGGCACACTCTGCTGCGCTTATAATGAAGCATTTTCCAATTGCTTTTTTGATTCGTATTTTGTTGGCTGTTTGTCAGTCATGTTTGTTGTTCATTTGTGGATACTTTTTAAAGGTGAAATTATGGCTGAAGAAGCCAAACGATTTTTGGGAGAAAATATAGGAATATGTGTGTTGCAGCTTGGACTTGACCTTTCCCTAGACTTTTTATACCCGGTACTCGAAGAGTAAATAGGGTATATTTTATTTGTGCACAAAGTGAATATATGTAACACACAGAAGGAAACGTTTCCGACCCCATAAAGTATATATATTCTTGATCAGCATCAATAGCCGAGTCGATTGAGCCATGTCTGTCTGTCCGTCCGTCTGTCCGTCCGTCTTGTTGAGCGCCTGGATCTCAGAGACCATAATAGCTAGAGCCACCAAATTTTGCATCCAGACTTCTGTATGCTCACACTGTTACAAGTGTATTTAAAAAATGAACCACGCCCCCTTCCGCCCCCGGAAAAGGACGAAAACCTCACAAACCTACAATTTTGAAGAATTGAAAAACAAAAACGCCATTCCATAGGGAATGGCCATATCTATCAGATCACCAAATTGGGATCCGATTGTATCATTATTATAGCCACAATGAAGAAATTAATTCCCAGTGGCTAAACCCACCCTGTCCCGCAGCTTTTTATGTTCTTTTCACATTCTATCGTTCACACTCTGCTTCTGCTTCACTCGGCCTCTGCCTCTGCCGTCCCTCTGCCTCTGCCGACTTTTAACCCACCCCGTCCCGCAGCTTATATTTGATACCGCGATTCTGCAGTGTGTGGGTCCAGGGAAGGGCGGCGAGCTAACGGGGCGTGTTGGCGTGAGAAGGGTTGTTGATGTAGATGACAGATGAAGAAAATATTTAAAATTTGACAAAACACCGCTAAGGTGCAGATGTAGTACTGAGCGCCTGGTATAAAAGTTGTGACGCGTAAGAAGCGTCTCACACGTCCCTTCTCGATCCATTTTTATACCCGGTATTCACTCGAAGAGTAAATAGGGTATATTGTTAAACGCTTTATTTCGTCGAAGAATCTTCGGATCCTTTCGGGAATTTGTTCGTAATATTTTTTGTATTGTATTGCTGTATTGCTGTATGTCCAATTTTTCGTTTTCTTTAACCTAGGAATGTAGCCATACCATTTTATTTAGTTTTTATTTATTTTTTTAAAGTTGTCTCTCCACAAAGGCCCTAATTTTCCATGGTAACCACAAAACTTGTGCATAAATTTCTAAAAAACATGGAAACATGAAATCTTAACTAGAAACTTTTCTGCCTTTTGTTCCCCCTACACCATTTCTTATCCTTTTTGTCTCTTTTCATTCCGCTTCTCTCCATTTCTAATATCTCATGCTATGCTCCTTTTCCCTTTTGTCATATTCATAGCCCCAGGACTAACATAGATATGTATATATGTATGTACATACACTTGTCCTTTAAAATATAACTTAAAGCTTGACAAGGACCTGCATCCTCAGTGCCAGTGCCAGTGCTTTGATGCTCGCTTAGCTCAAACCCAGAAGTGATGTCTGGGCACCACTTTTCTTAAGGAACTTTCCTCCGTTTTTGGTGTCAAGTGTTTTTATTAGAACCAAAGCGACGAAGAGAAGAAAAAAAAAAGAACAACAAAAATTGCAGCTGTGTGCAAAAGGGAAGGATGTACAAATTTTCTCTTTATTCTGGGGCAGGAATCGAAATTGGAATTGTTTTTCCCACCACTACAGAGAGAGAGAGAGAGAGAGATGTATGACATGTGTGCTAAATAATTTTATCTAAAAATATATAAAAGTTAGGAATAAGGTAGAGCTAGCTATAAGTAGAAAAATAAATAGGTAGATAGATAGATAGATTAAAAATGGGAAAAGCGGTTGAGATGTGAGTAGAAAAGTTTGGTTATTCAAAGTCTTATCCGAATTAGTTTCGTTTTAATTTACCTAATGAATAGATGGTATTATATTAAAACGATTCCGCTAGATATATCTCTTGTTTGATTTTTGGTATAGTGAAAATAGGCAAAACGATTTAATTTGAAAAGGAAACTAATGCCAGTTCTTTTCAAAGTACATACGGAAAACATTATAGCAGATATAGATATATAGATAGATATAGCTCACAGTTCTTTCTTTCCATATACATATTTTGTATTCACTTCGTGATAATTTCTAAAGAATTCACGGATTTTTAGAATGAGATGTGCTTTTTTTTATTTCGAAGTTGAAGCATAGTAGTCCTCGACCTTCTCCAATTTATAAGCTCCACAGGTTTTTCTCTTTATTGTCTTGTAGCACGATTTCTCCACAAATGTCTACAACTTTCCTTCCAGCCTATCCCAACAATTGCATTCCTTGTCGCTCTGTACTGTTGCTGTAGAAAATGCTATGTGAGAGAAAACAGTGTAAACTCCAGACCTCGCCATTGACGGGAAAGGCACTTCAAATGGTCGATTTGGCTGCACGCCTCCTTTTTGTCTGTTTAAATAACGTTTTAGTCCTGACGTTCGTCATGGTCTGAAGTCATGTCTGGTTGGGGTTTTAGCACCAGGGTGGGCCAGGGCATGGCTGTGGCTGGGGCTGGGCCCACCCATATGCACTCCTGATGTTGCCTGTTGACGTTTACAATTTGGTGTTGAAAACTTTACTCCAGCTGGGGAAATTGGGTAATACTCAAACGATGGTGATGACGATGGCAAATGGCGATGACTGCGGCAATCCTGTATTAAGTACGCGACGAACCCTCCCTCTCTTTTTGCAACAAGCAAAATTTTAATTTATATAGAATGAGTGGCCTGAGACGGAGGGGCAGGACTGTTGTGAGAGTGGTGCTTCCTAGAGTACCTTTGGATTCATCCTCTCCTCTTCTTGCTGGCAGTCTTCACCATTTCAATGTTCGTGCTGCACTGTGCTTACAGCACAGCACACATACAGCATATACTCATACTCGTACACATAAAAAAATCCAATTATTTTAAAACTTTTGACAACTGCAACAACAATGCGAGAGAGGGCTATGAAAACAATAAGAAAACTGACTGCCAGCCGAAAGGCAACAAAAACAGTGAAAGAAAGTGCAGATTTAAAAGGACGAAGCTAAGGGATACCCTGAGAGGTACAACTCTTCCGGGGAAAGCTATAAAGAAAGCGTAAAAATTAATTCGTTGAACAAATATCCACATAGATAAGAGCAAAGTTGGTCGTTGCTGACGAATTTCTTAGAATTCCTAGCAATCAACGATTCTGGTATGTGTAGTACCGAAAGTCCTACCTTTTTTGACATGTCAAACATCTAGTAAATCCCATAATACCCTCCCTGAAGCAGAGAGAGTATGACAACAGCGAGTGCTGGAGTGCAGCCATAAGAGAAAGAGGGAAGGCCCACAAAAAAAGCACCAGAAAATGGAGGGAAGTAGAAAGGGTTCGGCAGCCATTATAACTTCACTTGAAAAGTTTAATTGATTTTTACAAGAGCATATACAAGTATAGCCTGTGGCACGTATACATATGCATATATACACACACATATATAGAGAGGTAGAGATTGAAGGAGTAGGGCCTGAATGCAGTCATGGTTTCGTTTTATTTCTCTTTTTTTTTTTTGCTAAGTGGGTCTATAAGTTGATGTAAACAAAGTGGATACAAAAAAAAAATAATAGAGAGAGTGAGAGAGAGAGCGAATGGCAGAGAGATGGCAAGGAAATCAAAAGTAGCATTCTTCAGTCAGGTGCAAATTGTTGGCCCCAAACCCGGAGTTTTTTTCGCCCTTCTGTTTTTTGTTTGATTTTTCGTAGAGCTAAGCCGACTTTTTAATTGCTGTCGAAAGTGTAGGGCTGTTACTGTAATTATTGGCTTGTGGCCTTTGTTCATTGTGGGGGGAAATTTCTTTTAGGTGATTGGCTTAATGAGGGCGCCAAAGGAGACGCTTCTGAAGACAAGAGAAAAAATTGTAAAATCCATGAAATTGCCTGGATTTGTATATATTTTTCTTGAACGTGTTACAGATTTATGCACCACACACAAAGGTTTCTGTGAATCAAAGTTCGAGCTCCACAGAATTTTAACCCTAACAATCGTTTTCTTTCCTCCACAGGAACTGGAACTTGATTCGCAAATAACAAATAAATCAATAAGAAACTGCATATCTCTGAATTTATTTAATAAATCAATAGAAATTATACATATATCTACATATATATTGTAGTTTTTTAAGAGATCTTTAAGTATTTAAGTTCAAGTATAAGCCAGGTAAACGTCTATGGTCATATAAGTAACAACAGCTTCCCTCCACATGTGAATATCATCGACAATGATGATATCTACGATGATGATAACTGCGATGCAACTGTAAACCCCAAACAACAATCAATCAATCAATCAATATGTGTGATCTCCAACAACAAATGGAACTGCAACTGATACAACAATCGCAACATTTGGCGTGACAACATTTACAACAATTCCAATAAATGCTGCTATCATGCCAATAATGATGATGACATCGCATTTACTAACACATCTTGTTATATCCGATGATTTTCGCCTTGCAAAAATGTATTTAACAAACGATTGAAACGATTGTCTTGAATATTTGAAACGAAACAACAAACCTCAACAACAACCTACTAAACACTCCCTCCCCCACACACACTCTTTCCTCTGCTTTCAACACTTACACAAAAACATTTCTCCACCAACTCTGTTGTGCATATTGCTGCCATCTCTCTCTAGCGAAAGATAGCCAGCGAGTGAGTGAGAGTGAGAAAGTCGAGAGGTTGTCGATCGTCAGCCAGAGAGTAAGTCTGACAGAGACTGAGACAGCGACAGACAGAGAAGCTGTGTAAATAATCGAAATTATAAAACTATCGTTGTTGTTATCGACTGTCGCCTAACCTCCTCCCCACGAACCCTTCGATATACACAAAACCCAGATCATAGATATAATGGGTCTGCAGATGGCAGCATCCAATTTTGTTGCAGCATCCAGCCTTCTAGCGTTGTTGTTGCTCCACTGGTCGCCCGCAATCGTCGATGCAGTCCGTAAGTACCATCCACTACACTATAAGCATTATTATCCACTTGTTAATTTTATCGTACATCCACTTTTACACGCAAGTTTTACGGCTAAGTTTACGTTAAGTTTTCAACGCTCTTCATTTTCGGGGGAACTTTCGGTGGAGCTGGAATGCCGGCTTCAACTTTTTGAAGATGAGTTAAGTTTTACTTTGGATTTTAGCTTAAAAGTTGCCCTTCTCAAGTGTCTGAAATTAACCGAGTGGATATAATATTTATTTAGCTCAAGCATTTACAATAAAAAAAGAATTTTTTAATCAGTTAAGAGTCAAATTAGCTGGAAAAGAAACTACTTCAAGGAGAAAAACTTTACTGAAAGTAAAGTGGTGTTGAAAGTAATTATTTTCCATAATTAAAACCTAAAAGAATGTAGAAAATAAAAATGAAATTGTTTATCAGCCAAAAGAATTAAAGGAAATCTTGAAAAGGAATTAGAAAAGTTATAAAGCACAGAAAGGCGTACCGCGCTGCTTAGCTTTGGGTCGGTGTGGCAACGTAACGTCTTTACATCTGGCATGTTGTTGATATAAATTGAATAGTCAATTATTCTCAGAATTTCCTCTTGCTTCAATTTCCTTGGCATGTTGAAATGTTTTCTAAACGTCTAGATACATTTTCCATTGGATACAAATTGTCCTTTTCATGCAATTACCAAATCACCCTCGAATGCCATCTCTAAATCAAGTCCATTACACACTCTGGGGCGGAACACTTTTGTCACTTAAAAGAAAGAAAAGAAATGAAAGCAAAAACAAAAAAAAAGAAAACACCTGAAAGAACAAATAACAATCAAAGTGTTGACATTTCAGAATTGCAGTCAAATGTGCCTCATATTTTTGCGCCAAGGCCTTTTGTGAAAGTGTCGGGCTCTCCTCCTACCTTCCACCTGCCTGCCTTCTGCCTCTTTTTGCCTGCTGGGTTTCTGGTCCTCTTGCGCTTCTGCCACCACTCTCTATGGATGGCACTTACCTTTCATAGACGCTTCATTTCATTTGGTTTGAGGATGAGAGAAGGGGGCATTGGGGCAGTAGCGATAAACAAGCTGTAGGCCGACAGGGAGAGAGGGAGTCAGAAAAACAACGTAACACAAACATTGCATATCCTGCCTGATGTATTTTCTGCATTTTTGTTGGTTTTTGGTATACTCTGCAAGAAGGGTATCCTCAACCGAGGGGCGCTGGATTGGGATTGGATCCTTCAAGTACCTTTACATACCACAACCGAGAGGTGGTACTGCATGACACCCGAATTCTGCAAGTTATTGTAGGGCAAATCTTTATTATTGGCTTAGAAATGAGGATATCAAAGTTAGATCCTGCACTTTCCTACGTTTTCCCATCATTTAACAACCGTATCCTGTAATGAATTGATTCACAAGGGTATCTAACGCTCCGTTAGCCCCTATAGTTAGCCCTTCATTCTGATGTTTTTTGTTGTAGTTGCTGCTGCTGCTGTTGCCCCTGCAGTTTGCAGTTTGTCGCACCTCTTTTTGTGTATGTGGCATTAAATTGAAATTTATGCGGCACTTTGCCGCGTGAAATGTTTGTACAACTCGTTGCGGGTTGCGGCTCTTTCATTCTCTTTTTTTTCTTTTGCTCGTTACCCCCCGTTTGTTACCCCGCTCTGTGCTGTTTTGGGGACCAAAGCTCTTCGGGCGTTGACAGACCGACAAACTGTTGGACAACATTGCCGCTACCGTCTCTGATGCAGCAGGCAGGGGAGAGCGATGTCTAAAAACATATGCAAAACTGTTTGCTGTTTGCCATGTAAATGGTTTTTGGGGTCCATCCGAACCAACGGCCTCTGGTACCCGTTGGGTGAACTTGTTTTTTGTTGCCACCCCCCACTGCAACCCATTTATGCCGGCTAATTTGTCCTGTGTTGGAAATTATGACACAAAAGTTCCCGCTCCACTACAATTGTCGACAGTCAACGCTGCCATCGACTCAACTCGCTTTCTCTGCTGTTCTGCCTCGTAATATTATTTTGGTAAAGCAAAAATGGGAACGAACTTATTTTTGCAACAAGTTTTAATTAATTTGCCACAACTCTAGGCTCCAATCCACACCGAATCTCTCCCATCCCGTTCTCGTTCCACTTCACTCGTCAGCAAAAAAAAAGGAATAAAGAAAGCAAAAAAAAACTTGATGCTACGATAATTTGAAAAGTTTTCGTTTAGACAGGGAACGCGCGGACGGGAAATAAAAACAGAACATAACAGAGCAGAAATGTGAATGTGGAGCAGCAAAACGTCAGAGCAGGCAAGCGACTGGGCAGAAGGAAAATCGCTGCCGCTCAAAACACACATAAAAAGCAGGAAAAACTAAGAGTAAAACATCAGGAAACTACGATATATGTATATGGGATCTATGCTATATTAAGCCTCAAATAAATGCCGGAGCCATAATTAACATATAGCAAAAGTTTTACCATCATCCAACCTGCAAGTTTTGGAGGCGACGTGGCAGGGCCCTGCCTGGCTACTGGTGAAGTGTCTGGCATGAAATATGGTTAAAGTCGATTCCATGATTACGCCGTCTCTACCTCCTGTTTGGTTTTCCGAATGGTTGTGGGTGGGCGAAAGTGGGAGTAATCCGAAATTGATAACTTTCGGCTTGATTGAGTTCGCTTTAGCGCAAAGTAATTAAACAGTAGACGAGAATACGTGTGTGATCAATCCATAGAAACCAGGCGCGCAGGGAAAAGGGAAACCAGGGAAAAGCAATCATAAATCAATGATTTCTTTGTAGGATTAAGTTTTGGTGGGGTTGAACGTGGCATTTGGGTTCGGTTTTTAGTTAGACTTTCATGGTTTGTGTCGCCTATTTAAAGGATTATCCTTTAATGAGCTGTGAATATGTCATTTGGGTAAATATATATATACATTTTTAGATGCTGCCGAATCCTTACACTCTTCTCTCCAAATAAGTTTTATATTCATTTAATTGATGACTTCCATCAACATTTCTCAGCCTCAATTTATTTTCCCACATTTCTCAGCATATATTTCTCCTATTAGCATTAAAAATTATTTGATTTGTATTCGCAACATTGATAAATACGTGCTTCCAAAGGACAAAAATACATTTCACAACTTTAATGGAGCGCAATTAGCCGAAAGATATAGACGTCTAACGGGTCCTCGGTCATTTTCAATTGTCAGTCGGAATGGCTGCAGATAAATGTTGATTTATCTCTAGGCATCAGTCTCCGGTCTCCACATTAATGTGTTGACATTTTTTTGGGGCAACCTTCCTGCCCCCAAATAAAGAACAACAAGAAAAAAAAAACTAACAACATTTTGTTGCAGCCATTAAGAGAGGAGAGGTTCGTGGGTGGGAAGGACCTTGGGTTGTAATGAAAAGTAATAATATTAAATTAACAGAACTCTCATGAATTGTTGCAACCTCTGGGAAATGTGTGTGGTGGAGTGGGAAAATGGGAAAAATGTGGAGTGGAGTGTAGTCTTTTTTCCACACTATTTTTGCGCTAGGCCTCCAACCGCCACGGCCGCAACAGACCAACAAACATCTTATTTATGGTCTCGTTTCTCGTAAAAATTTGTTATTTAGATTTATGGCATTTTGGTCTTTGTTGTTGCTCCTTTGCCTCCTTCTTGCACATTTATTTATCTCTCTTTCATTCTTTCCTTTCTTAAGTTGTACTTTTTTGGAAGGAGGCAAAACCCAAGTCCCCCCACTCGAGGCAGGAGTTTCTCCACTCATTTGGGCACTGAAATTTTAGAGCCACTTTAGGCGGTCACTTGTCCAGAAAAAAGTGTAGAAAAAAAAAGCTGTGATGAATGTTGGCACATTATTATTGTTGAGCAGTGTATATGTTGAGCTTGAGCACTTCTATCTGAAATGTTGCTAATATAATGATATGCGGGGCATTAACAAAGTGCATACGCATTTGCCACATCCTCATTTGCCACGTCAGAACAATTGATGGGCGTTCCACTAGGAGGATGAGGACTAGTCCTTGACTTTCTTTATTGCCCTGCTTCAAGAGTGATCTTTGACGAGTAGCAGAACTTGTGCAGAGGAAGAGCAATTTTTGAGTGTAGGAATGGAATTATATTTTTAATATATATTTTGTATTACTTTGTGAACACTGACTACCCTTCCAAATTTCTCATTAAACTTCCTAAAGTCTTACTTCCTGAAACCGCTCCACAAAACTAGAAAGTTTTCTCGCAAATGAAACTTTAATTTTTCCTCTACAAAGGTGAAAGGCAGCACCTTTATTCTTGACTTTTCCGCTCTAATTTCCAAAGCTCTAATTTTCTCCAAGTTAAATGTCAAACTTAAAGTTTTTTTTTTTTTATCGAAACAATCAGTTTATGCAAATCTTTGCATTTCCCTCTTAACTGGCAGACCACTTTTGCTCTGGCTTGAGAGTTTAATTAGAAAAAATGTTAATTTAATGCTTGGTTGGCTTCGGTCTTGACTCTGGCTTTGGCCATGGCTTGGGCTCTCTCCTTTGTGTGTGTCTGTGTTTTTTTGGGTGAAATTTGTCACTTGTCTATTTGTTTTTACTGCCCGAACGGTTGCTGACGTTGCAAAGTATGCCACCCGCTCACACACTGACAAAAACAGATCCAGAGAGTGGTACGGCAGGCACAGGACATTTCCACTCAAAACACAATGACAATGCCCTGCCCATATGTCCAACTCATATTTTCGAAAAAAGCATCATCCGCCAACAAACAGAAAAAATTGTACCAAAAAACTGGTTGAAAACTGAAAATTGAGCGGCATGTAAATGTTGCAATGAAAAAATTAGGAGGTAGAAGGGTAGCGACTTTAAGAGGGTGAAAACGAAGATACCCTGGAATTGTGGAAGGTTTCAGAGAATGTTGGAGGCTTAGAGGGATTTCTGGAGATGAACAGTTCTGGATTTACAGGGAAATTGCTGGTTCCAGATCTCTCTTAGATCCATCTCTGTCGAAAAGTTAGAAATTCGCT